CACATTCGTACAATGTGTGTACGCGCACACGTGTGTGTATGTGATGTGCGCATAAATGTGTGCGTATCGTTCGATGTAACATCGAAACAGCCAGGGAAAAACGTAACGAGATATCTCGCTGACGAGAGCTCTGTAGAAATATAATCGAGAGTATGGAAAGAAAAATAGGAAACGCGCGCCGCGGTAACATGTTTTCGTTGAAGAGGTTTTGTCGAAACGCGAGACGCCGTGGCGAGATATCGAATTAATATTATATACACATTCGGAGATATATCACATTCGGAGCATATTCGGATATATATGGAGAGACGCGATCGACGGACGGCTGCTTAATCGCGCTTTAATGCGAAATAAAGTAAACATTGGCTGTCGAGCTCGCGTTCGAAAATGCAAACGTCATTATGACATTAAACGCTAAATGGGGCGCGCAAGGCGGATCTTGTTTATGGGCCAACTATCGGGGCCGTTTTACCCGCTAATTTCGTATTTAATTGACACATCTACCGCGACGAGGGGGTAGATGCGAACGATACGCGTCGGATGCGGTTCGCGTCCGCCCGAACGTTCATCCCATCCTACAACGTGGGCGGTATATACGTTGCCCACGGCTATCACCGCGGCACCGGCATTGGCACAGGCGACACGTAATTCGAATTTGAAATAGGCAATTAATTAACCGCGTGCTGCACGCACGGTGATCTCGCCGTTCGCGATTCGGCTACGCCGAATTATAACACGCTCGTGGCTACTTTATATATCCAACAAGTCGCTTTATAATATCCGTCTGATTCACGCATTTTCAAATATTAATACTTTAAATCCCGACGAATCGAGCGTAATACCAAAAAAAGTGTTATCGAAATTGAAGCGACGTGAAATCGAATAAATATTGAAAGAGTTGTATATCGTGTGAGTTTTAAGTCTTGTGTTATATACGAGATCTGTTTTTTTTTCTTTAGCTGAACCTGCACAGTTTTTTTTTCTCTCCGTGAAAAGAAAAAGAAGAAAAATGTATATTCTTGCAAGAAGTTCAGTTAGAAAGATCTATAATTATCTGTATACGGAAATAATGCTAAAGGATCCAAAAACTTAACTTACAGATACGGATCTGAAAATAATTTTGTTGGATCGTCAAAATAATTATGCGTAATTTGAAATCTATTTTTTAAATTTTCAATTTAATATGTTTAAAAAATAGAGAAGGGGTGGAACAGAATTTCCACGAAATTGGTTATCCTTCGTCTATATTTTCGCACGTAGATAAGCAAACGGCGCAATTAAAATATCATTGGGGCAACCACGGTTGAAATGCTTCCGATCGCAGCGCGGTGTCGAGTTTCCCCGACCATAAAATCCGTCTTGAAAACTGCCTGCGGTAGCCTAATTCAGGGCCTCCGATTGACTCGACGGCGGACGGGCCCGGGACTCTCCCGGGAGTCGCGCAGCGCAGCGACGCCGACGGAAGCGAGCGGAGAGTGTCGATTACTCGAGGGCCACCCGCAACGAGCGGTGGCGGAGCGACGCGTCGCGCGCGTCATCCGCGAGGTCGGTCGGGTGTTTACGGAAAATTACGGATGATAATGTAAGCATTTTTTCACGCTCTTCAACGCGGGTGGGTGCGGACGGGCCCCAGGCGGTCCGGCTCGCATACACGCGGTGTCCTACTCCCGCGGGGCTAATTTTAGGGTGCTTCAACCCCCTGGTTGCTACGTTCGCGAGCGCGCGTCGACACTGTGACCGACGCGTTGTTTACACGTACGTGCGTTCCAGGGAATTCCGACACCCGGCTTCCCTGACGCTGTACGTTAACTCTTCGAAGCGAGAGAAACTCGCCGCTTCTCAGAACCGACGGCCGTGTTACGAGCGCCGGGATCTGCGGGATCTGTTTTCCAGTCCATTTCTTCACTCGACGTAGTAGCGTTAACGAGGCGTCGTTATTCCTCGATAGATTTCTCTCGAACTCGAAAATATCAGGGACCTTCGTCTTTGAAAAATATATTTAAAAAGTAGGTAAAATGAGAGTGATAGGATTTTAATTGGAACCCTCTATCATTATTGAGCGATATATACCAGAAAAGCAGAAAACAAATAAACGCTTTCAGATCAAATTTAAGATTCACGCTCCTCTCCGATGTAATCTGACAGCAGGATATATCGAGGTTTATACAAGTCTTAACCGTGTTATAAATAATAGCGGAACGGGATTACGCGCCATGGAAACGCTTGCGCAAGAGATATCCTTAAAGGATACAAAATGCATTATGCGCTTTCTTGGAACGCTTGCGTGCCACGTAGACAGCCATGTAGGTGCAACCTATTTTACCCTGCGTCTCTTTAATAGACGAAATACGGAGCATATTCCCGGTTTTATACGTCAAACATGTTGGCGTCCTCTTCCTCGACTAAGCCGCATCAAAGGCGGGTCGATTGAACCATTATAGAAACCCTGTGTTGTAATTCCATTTGCCAAGATACCGCACGTTCTACCGTGACACCACGGGAAGCATTCGTGTACAATAGCGTTGCGTAACAATAACGTACCCGCCATTAACAGGGTTCGATTTACCGTGAAATCCATGAACGCATCCGCGAACACGCGTTCTCGGATTGGCCCCCATTGGCCCCGAGGCCCGTTGATCATTTTCGGAGATCTGAGCTTGTCTTCATTGGCTCTAATGTATTGCCGATCAGATAGAAACACGTGGCACTTGTATTTAAGTGATACGTGAATAAACTTCCATATTCTGGGCTTACGTTTCCGATACATCTGGTGCACATCTTCGTTGGGACTTTTACTTTCGACTACCACTTTTACAGCGGATTAGAAGAATACCTTTGTATTAAGTATTCGCAAAGATTGCACGTTCATCTTGGAAATGAAAATGCATCCGTGCTTTAAATACTTGTCTGATAAAAAAGAAAGCAAAAAACAGACAACGAGATTTGGTCCGACGACGTTACGGGGGCGCGTATCCTCTCTCTCTCTCTCTCTCTCTCTCGCTGCCTCTCGTTCGGCGCCCCTGATCGAATTGAGAAACAATGATCGGCATTGTATCCTGTCGGATTTCTCGGTTTTCGGCCTGCGAGAATGGGGATCCCTTAAGATACGCCCTGCACAATGCGATCGGCTGCGACAGCAGGAGCTAAAGCGCGCACGACCGGGCAGCAGCAATGACTTAATGCTATTTGGGGTATCTGCCCGATGCACATATTGTATACGCTCGCCTGTGAATGGAGCAACGTAGAGAGCGAAAGAGAGAGAGAGAGAGAGAGAGAGAGAGAGAGAGGGAGGGAGAAGCGAGAGATTGGGGAGAACGAGCGGCATCCGCGGAATTGTTTACTACTTGCCGCGAGCCCGAAATAGAGAGCAATTCTCTTGTTTTGGACATTGAACTGATGTTTTCGATACCTCCGTTCCGATACGCTGAAAGAGGAAAAAAATTGGAATTTTTCACGTGCACCGATGGCGAGTTTAGTGGGGAAATGTATATGGCGAGGAAGATTAATTTTCTTCAAAGCGACGAAAACGATGTTTGAGAATGGCAGATTACATTGTGGGAAGGAAGGTAAATCATTATGCTCGGGTAGAGAGCTTGTATTTCATCATAAATCATTATTCGTTTAAAAGTGGCAGACGTCCAACAAATTCTGAGGTGGTACACGCGTGTCTCTCGTACAACGGATTAAGTATTAATAATAGCACAGTGTAGTCGCCAGATACTAGTAGGGTGTAATTACGGTAAGAGAGCGGGTGAGTCATTTCTTATTTCTTCTATCTGTTCGTTATTGTTCACAGAGATCTCGTGTACTTTTACAATATAAATCTACATTATAACTAGTCTACGTTATTGGAAGAAAAAAAAAAAAATTAATTATCGCGTCGTGGCGATTTTACGTTATTAATAAATCAGGTAGAATCCTGCTTTTCCGCTTTCGCAATATGAGAAATAGGATTACGGTAGTCGTACGGGCAATGTGAAGAACGATATTCCCAGCCCAGTTATTTCAGTAACTCACATAATAATCTGCATAATTAATCGTCGCGTAATCGCGCGCGATCGTTCGAAAAACGGCGGAAAGGAGTTAGCGAGATTAAGGATCGCTCGATCGTTGCGCGCGGAAGGGGTGACGAGAGCTTCGAGGGGGCCGACGGCGGACGGTGATTTAATATTTTTCCTGTTATGAGTATAAGCTCGCCGGTTTGTTCTGAAAACAACGTCGGCCGCCGCGGTTCGTCCGTGTCCTCGCACAAAACCACCTGCACGGACGAACGAACTACCGCGATCGCCGTTCCTCTTCCCCAACCCCATCCCCCAATCCTTCCGGACGCGAAGGATCTTACTTATTTACTTGCGCGTTTTATCCGGAATAACTCGCTCCTCGCAGTCTTAATCGTATAGTTCCCTCATTGTTCTCGTCATTGCATCATACGCACGGAAGTGGAGTTGCAACACCCTTCAGAATTCGTTGAATTGCATCACGAATTGTTTTCCCGTTCGCTCGAATGATGCCGTGGCCGATCGTTCATTGTGCAGTGCATTACGTAATGCCTTGCACCTAATCCCGTTACAAAATTGTCAATAATACCAATATTATATATATTTAACAGAGTTGTGTGTTAAAGTAAATGCATCGAGTAAAAAATTACAACTATAAATATAGGAAAATCAGATTACGATTAACAAACAGATTACGATTAACAGAGAAACCTAAAAAATATTTTAACCGTTAAGTACTACTAGGGTACTCTAAAGATGAAAAAAAGCGAAGAATTATTTATCTGAAACATTTCGTATCGGAAGATCACGAAACGCTAAGTCAATTACTGTGAAAAATGCGAGATTTAACAGCACGCGGGATGCTGTATACCCTCGTAGTAGAAAAGAGGGGAGGGGGGGGCGAAGAAAAGACGAGGTCTACATTCTGTGCGTCTGCGCGATTATTTCGAGAGCCAAGGCGCCGAGACGTGTCCGCGGCTGTGACGGATGCCGCTAACGAGCTCCGCCGACGATTGACAGAATATTCTCAGTACGTAACAGCGAATATACCTATCTGCGGTCCGTGGAATCTTTGACACTTCGCGAGCCAGCGAGTTCCGTTTGCTGCCGTTTCTCGCGCCGCAATATTGGGGATGCATTTCACTCCAACGGCTAGCATTAAATAATTACTGCGTGAGAGTGCAAAGGCCGGAGCACAGATCTTTGAGTCCTGAAATATAATAGGTGTAATGGTGAGTCTTAAATCTTAAGAAAACCGATAGTCGAGTATTCTTCTTACATTCAACTATGATTGATTCATTTCTTAAAGCTTACGGCTTATTTTATTACACGTATTGTATTTTGGACTGAACGCATAATGAAGCATATATATGTAAGAAAATGAAAAAAACAGTCTCTTATTTCGTGGAAAAGAAGGAAATGAAAAACTTTGAATGGTTTTGTTTTTTTTTTATTTGTTATGCGTTAGACTCTGTCCTAATATAAATAATGACGTTATCGAATTTTCAGCGTAAAAGTGTGTTTGGAAGTATAGACTTTCCACAAGACTCTAGATGGAAATTCAAATTTGCAGTATATTTAGCGAAAAGATGCAAAGGATCGGCGAGGTGCCAGACATCCTCGACGCGAATAATGCGCAGGAGGTGTTGAAGTAGGAATGCTAAGTTAAATATACGCGTAGGACGTGGAGGTAGAATAAAAAGTACTCCCTAGCTCTCTTGTTCGACGTGTACACTTTGAGACCGAAGGAAGCGTAGGAAGTACTCCTGTGCGATATAAAAACCTTCGTTCTCTCTTTGTAACGTTTTTACCTTTTATCCCTGCGAAATAATATCGTTCAATGAAAAGGATGAAAATCCTTGATTTAATATCCAAAAAGAATTCTAAACTAGTAAGTTGACAATGGCAATTTTTTTATTCTTATTCGTTCTATAATACAAATGTACGTTTCGGTCTTTACTTAGCCCTTTTCAGCAATGCAAAAAATTAGTTATGTTACGGACCGATGAATTGGTATCTACATCTTTTAATACATATATATTAGGTGCGCAACTAAGTTCTCGCTGTTATTTTAATGAAAATGCCATCAAAATAATAGCGAGAACTTAGTTGCGCACCTAATACTATCTATTGACGTCGAAAATAGAAAAATGTTTGACACTGAGTCGATAATTTTTGTGAGATGAAAGCCTTAAGTAATTCGATTTATATATATATATTAGGTGTTGGAATTAATTCGTAGCGTTTTACAAGTGATGGGAAGTACTTTCATTAATGTATTTTTTAATGCTCATGTGAAATAAATAACATTCTTTCATTAAAAAACGCTACGAATTAATTCCAACACCTAATATATAAATTAACTAATATACGTAACTAATTTTTTGTGTTGCTGAAGAGGACTATGTAAAGGCCGAAATGTTTACATATGTATCATTGTTGTCTTGCTAGCTCGTTTGAATTTCTTAACCTTTAAAATTATGATTTCTTATTGCTTTGCAACTGTACGAGCGTTTGTTATAACATTTAACTTTTTAATACTCAAAGAGAATTCTTGCCATTTTTTATTTAATACGAGCATGATTCTCTCTTCTTCTTGTAAACAACAAAGTTTTTATAACAAATAATTAATTCTAATTCTATAATTATATAAATGACGAGCTATCTAACGTTAATAGAAAATCTCTCTACTGCAATATATATAAAATTAAATTCTCACAGAAAAATTTATCGTTGTTTAAAAATTTCAAATGTTTAACATTTCGAAGTGTAAAGTGACATATTTGTATGAATTGTGTGCACACGAAAAAAGTGATAAGTTGTAATAATTACGAAAAAATTAATAGTGACGATATATGTAAACAGACATGATATCTCGCGTGGTAATTAAGCTGTCGGTTATTATATTCAAGAAGCATTCAGAAGGTTGTAGAAGTATTTTCTGATCTAGGTACGCGATAATGTTCCGCTAATGATGACAGTAACCCATGTTGACTTAACCCGTTGCCGTGATGGACGTTGTAGTATATTAGGAACAGCATTTATGACAGATATGTCACGCGAAAATGTCAACCGTTCGTAGCAGAAGATTGCGTTCGGTGAAGTATAGCTTTTGCAAAATAAACGTGCCTGTATCACAGCCTTTGCAATGGATTTGATCACTGTCTATTGTTATTTAAAACTAAAGTGCGTTAAAACCGAACGCGACCTTAACATTCTAATAATAGCCCGGCTGATTAGTGCTAATCTATCGTTCAAAATATATTCAGATACTTTGGCGAAAGAATCCTTTCTTATCCTTTCTTATTCACTTCCGTTATTTTTTCGTTTTCGCATACTTACACTTTGTTATTATGTTTATTATCGATTAACAACCTACTTGTGCCTCAGAATTGAAGATTAAGAGGATCGACTTGGATCGCTCTGTCGATTTAACCGTGGATCTCTCTCCTCCGGAAAAGAGTTAGTTGGCGGGTCAATAAATAAAGCGTCAGACGTTTCGTAATCCAGTGATCGCAAGCTTCTGACGGTATCATGATTTCCGTAACTTACAAGATTTCTTCCTCTTTCATTTTAGTCATTTATAGACATATGATTGATTAATTTTTTTTTCTGAGTCAAAAAAAATATTAATGTCTTATCAAAACGATAAGTAGTGTAGCAATGTCAAAGTAAATAGCGATGACCATATATCTTTTCATTTTAATTGTACTTAAGCCTGAATTCTTTCGATCGCGGCCAATATTGTTCAAAGGCCAAACACGACGTTAACGAGACACTCGAGAGAAGGGAGAACTCAGCCAGCCTTTAAATTAAGAGATAACTTCTCGTAGAGGAAGCTACTTGGTTGCCGACCTGCCGTCTCGTCGCGGCAACGCTAAAGGAATACGGTCGGCGGCTTTTTGTGGAATCGCGCCGTGGCAACTTTTGCGAGGCCCGCCGTTGAGCGGGCTCGGCGAACCGCGCTGCCAATAATAGAGCAATAAAAAAGCTCATTGGTCCGCCGTGGTGTGTTTCAAAGCGGTGGTAATGGGGCATGAAAGCTGGCGTGTCTTTACGGAAACCAAGAGGCGGAGGAGCAGGAGGAGGATGCATGCTTGATGGAGAAAGAAAGGACCGAGCCGACGAAAGAGAGATGAAAACTCGAGGGTGGCGCGAGGGACATTCGTCTTCGAAGGCGTTCAGCCGTTTGATAGCAAAACCTCCCGACGCACTACTTTCCTCTGCTCTACTCGAAAAGTAGCATAAGAACCCACCGCTAAGTCCGAAAGCAAACTGTCGACCAATTAACCCTTCCAACCCCTCGCAAATAACTTTGTTGTATATAGGATAGAAAATCAACGACAAGTATAAATAGCAGTCTATTCCGACTGATTTGAAATTAATTTATATACGTATAAATCAATGACTAATTAATAAAAAATATTGACATCGTTTCCCACTTCTTTTTGTTTTTCAAATTTATTATTTTACATTTGGCATTTTAACAAGTAAAACGTTGTACAAGTAAGACTTTTGAATAAATAATTCTTAAATTACTTTAAAATAATATTTTTTAAAGAAACAGGAATAAAATCACACATATTATTGACTTTCGTAAGCTATTACTCGATTATCCAATCGTTTCTATTTTTATATATTATGTAAATGCAATTATCTGTTAATCATTTTAAAAGTGATAATATTTATTTTTCGGGGATGTAAGCTTACATGGATTTCACGGCCTTCATTCGCTTCCTATGCCGTGTCTCCTGCGGTCGTCGATCGTAAATCGGTCGTTCGCCGCATTTCTGCAGTTCACTGCCGGACGAGAGCAAACAGGCGATAAATCAGCACATAAAATGGACCGGCGATCGATGAGTCGACCGGAAGAATAATACTCGGGTGTGCCACTCGATGATGGCACCGTGTGCGTGTGGTGCCAAGCCGTCTGCTAGTTACTTCGGGAAATGGGAATAAAAATAAATGCGGCCGGTAACGAATTTTAACGATGGGGAACTCGAGAAATTGGGTTACAGAGACGCGCGATGGCGAAGCTATCAAGATTCTACTCGAATTCGAGATACAGATTTTTCATAACCTTCTCAGTCCTGCGTTGTCCGGTCAATTACAGTTTTTAATCATTCGAATCACGTTTCCTGCGAATCTTCAACGTATTTGTTGTTTATTTCTCATAGGTGCCTAAACAGGTTTTGTTTGCACGCTTATTTACGGCATGAGGACAAAATTGTTTTGCAAATACAGTTAGCAAACCGTTTACTCTCCTCTGGTGCGATTCGTGAAACTCTCGGGAAACTGTATTTCCCGTCAATATTTTGATGCATAAGTCGGTGCATCGTCGTATAAATGTATGAATAATAAATGTCGAGAATCGTAAAAAGATCGGAGGCGCATTGTCCGTCCTTAGCCGCGGTTGAAAATCGAGGCGCTCTTGAAGTCATCCACGTGGAGTTAACACTAAGTTCAAAATCATCGTCAGCATACCCGAAGTTGCGGTGAGGCGTCAAAGCGACGCTCGAGTGCCTCGCGAAAAAAGCAAATATTTAATGGGGTAAAATGAAATTCCAACGAAATTCCTGTTCTCGCGTTAGACAGCCTGGCTACCTTACAATACGCCATACATCAACGTTAATCATCTGTCACGTTTACCGAAATATCATGATACTGAATATAATTTTTTCAAGTATAGAATTTTTATCTCACTTGAGGTACACCGAAAAATAATCTCATTTCTCTTAGAAACTTAGAAAGACGATTTCCTTTCCCTAAGAAAAAAAGATAAAAACGTTTCGAGATGTATAATTGAATTTTATGTAATCATTATATAATTGATAAATAATACGGTTTTTAAATATTCACGTTTTCTTAAGAAAAAGAAAATGCTTTTGGTAGTACGAATGATAATGAATTTTTTTATTGGAACATAATATTCAATCAGTATCCTTGCTCGAATCGAAACGGGGGAAGATAAATGATTTTGTAGAATAGACTTGCGAAAATCATGATGTTTTGTTACTCCGCTCATTAATCTTTCCATCGCAAGGTTGAACAAGATTTAGCATCGAATTACATAGCGTACAGTTAAAAGATTATCTTTATCAGTATTGTTAATTTTAACCGCAGTTTCATACTTTTATTTAAATAACTAGAGTGAATCAATAACTTATAAATCTACAGAGAATTAGGTGAACTATCTTTATTGCAGTAGATAACAATAGCTAAGAGGAAGCGTAAATATCACACAAGGTTCCCCTCTTTCTCATAGGACAGAGGAACGTAATTTTCGTGATATTTCAGTACCGTTAACTCTCATTATCAATCGATCTACTATTCTTTGACACGTTGACAGAGGAAACGTACCCGTTAATATATACCAACACACCTCACCGGTCCACGCCATTATCGGGATCTACCTCCTCTTCTACCTCGCAGTCGACGCTACTCGCACGGATCATCTATATATCGCACGGTGACTATTTATACAGTAAGCAAAATGCCTGCTTCGGTATACTCGTAATTCGAACGAACGAACGAGGAGGAGCGACGGCTGTCAAGAAGTGAAATACCATCCGGTCCACTTCGCGCGCTCGAGTCCTCCACTCGAGATCCGAGCTGGCCCCGGGCAGACCTCGGGGCCCGGTGTGGCCGGTATTATGAATGAAACCGCGCAAAGCCGGTTCAGTGTGCGGGCCCCGATCCCCGACTCCTAAGTCCGAGGTAACTCTGAGCGAGAGGGGTTCCTCGAGGCCCTCCAGGAGGAGCTCAATGGAATTGAGAGAAAAAAATTCGTGTGGTCATTTTTCGAAGGTAACAATAAAAACGCGTCTCCCCGCCTCCCCGTCACCGCAGCCACCGCCGTCGTCGCCACTTCGACCTGCTCTGCGCGCAGGTTGCTGCGTCACAGCCAGTGACACATCCTGCGGGATTCCTGCGCATCGAGAAGGGCGCAACAATGGAAGACGAGCGGCGACCGGAGAGACGATGACTGGTCTCGTCGTGGAAGATCGTGGAAGACGACTCACGCGCGCACGGCTATTTATGCGATATCATTCCAAGGGGCGACACGGGGCCCCGTCGTCCGTAAACAATGTGACCTTACGTGCGAGGAGCGGAGAGGCTCGCGCGACTCTCGAATCGAATGTTATCTCGATGAACGTTAACGATTGACTGTCCTCGAGCGATCGGACGCGACTGGAGGCAGGTTCCTCTCGGGGCTCATTATATCGAATCCCAAATTTTTTTTATATCGCATTTTAGTCCATCTCGTATGGAAAGTCGATGGATCCGTGTTGAAATTGTTAGATATCTCTCGAAGCTCTCGAATTCCTTCGCGTCGTCAAATCATTATTATAGATTCTTAAATTTTTACGTCACTGGCTTGAAAGATGATGTAACTTTAGCTTCAACAAACGGACAATAAAAGTTGGGCACAATGCCGAGGAGGAGTGAATGGCTCTAATTTTATGCCCGATGTGTCTTCATCGACCTGACGTACTTTACCTTAGCGCGGAT